GGCTTAAACTTGTACTTCGAGATCATTCAAGTGATACGTTCTTCCAGAGAGCAAAATCTCGTTCTGAATGTTTCTAAATCTCAAGAGATGATCGAAAACCATGGTCTCAAGTCAGGGCTCCTACGTGACCTCGCTTCCCGCCCCTAATGGGCGACGATAAAGAAATCGCAAGGCCTGTCAAATGCCTTCGAGCCGAAATCGACCCATCTCTACTTTTCCATCTTTACGCTCAATTCATCTATAAATGCTGCTATAACAGATAATATTATGCTATGAATCTTTTTCGGAACATCCTTCAAACTCTAAGCCCTGTTAAGAACTTTGTAGATACTTGTTTGCTGTCCAAGCTAACCCTTCTCACATTCTGCGCTTTTCTCCTGAAAAAATATCAATCCCAAGTAGCTATTTTAAATCAAAAGAAATCCTTTGGACATCTACTGAAGGACGCTTGGATATCCATTAGATATCCTCTTGGACATCCAGTGGATGAATAAATGTTTCGTTCAAAGATTATTCTTGGACATGTCCATTTCTTCAGATCTATTGGAGATTCCCTATGGGAAAACCATTGGGTTACCATGAAGGGGTCCAATTAAAGTAATCCCCAGGTAGCAATGGAGCCAAATTTGCACGCACATGAATATTCATAACACTCTGAAAGGCATTGCTTGCTTTGACGTTCTACTCATCTCTGAATTCATATGCGAGGTAATATGCAGCATTCTCCGGAGACTTCCGATCTCGCAGTTCGGAAACGGTAGGCTCGTTCTTCCAATTCCCTAGAACGATCTGAAAGGGAAGAAGGATGGAATTAGAGAATTCCTGATGGACATCTCTCAATTTTCCATCCTACCCTTCTGATTAACTAATTGTTCTCCTCATCGCCACGGGCGACACGCAATAAAAGGAAACGGACGCCCTAGACTCACCTCAGAAGGCGAATTCTATTCTTTTTATGCATTGTGCTAGAATTGGGTGGAGTGTTCTTGAGCTAGGTTATGTCTCTCAACTAATCAAATAATTCAAACGACTTTCTTCCTTCTGCTTGTACGTGGGAAAATGTCGAGTACAGGATGAAAGCTTCTGCAGAACCGTCCAGTAGCATATGAGTAATCGAAACACGTACAGTGGCGAGTTCAGCGCGACAGCACTCATACAGGGTGTTCTATTAATCTTCAGATGAGAATGTTGATTTAAATCAACATTCTTATGGTCTCAAGATAAATAGAACACCCTGAATTATGGGAACTTTACATTTATTGAATGAACAGCTAGATGCCAGGCCAGATGGAAGGCCTCAACCTGCAGGCCCTCCCATTCAAGGACAGCCAATGATACACCGTGAGAAGTTGTCCTTTGAAGTTTCTTTGGATGAACATCTAATGGATGTCCAAAGACGGACTGACAAATAGTTTCGTTCGTAATGTCGAGTACTGTCAATGGAATCATGCAATGGTCCAATTATTATGCCATAATTATGTGCTGATTGAAGCGAGTCGGTCTCGATCTAAAATTATGAGTATTGAAGAAATCCCCCCCCCCCAGAAATCCCATTATTGGATGCGCGTATTGTCATTCCATGAAACTGAAAATTGATGGCAAGATGTAGAGAAATTCTGCCCAGACGAAACTCAGAATCAATGACAAGATATCAGTCCATGGCGATGACCGCTTCTGGGCTTTTACCCATCTTTGGACAACTGGACTGTCCATGGAGTTTTGGATCAACCTTGGGAGCTGATTACAAGACTCTTACAGCGTCTCGCATTCTCAACCGGACACAGCCTAACGCTCACAAGATCGATCGTCGTATCCTCAGTTAACGTCAACCTTAGCGGAAATATCGTTAGCGACCCTCAGCACCCGCCCCATGACTTCGCCTTTTCTCTGCGCCGCAGCTGCGGCCCTTTCACAACGAATCAAATCAGACTTCCACGAATCCGGACCAAGACATAGGCGACTTTTTGCTCTATACACGGTGAGTCAAAAAGTCCTCCCCACCTTTTGAACGTTAATAACTTCTCAACGCTTGATCTAATGGAGATGCGGTTTTCACCATTCGAAAGGGAAGACAATTCTATATATTTAGGGTGGTTAAAAAAAATGCTCTACCGTTTTCTATGGGAGAAACACAGTTTCATAAATTAAAAAAAAAATTAAATTGGATACGTGATCGATATTTGACAGTTACAAGATGTTGAAATGCTTGTCAGCTTTTTTTTCAGCACCCCTGCCTAAATTGTGTAATGCCCATTTAGAGGTGAATTAAAGGTACTTGGAGGTGGAGCATTCTACCTCATGTGAGGTAATGACCTGTGCTCGACCGTCTCAGAATGCAAGGAACTTTTCAACTTTAATTTTTTTTAAAGGGACAGTTGGATCCAGCTGATACATGACAGAGAGGTTCACGAGTCTAAGAGGTTTTTTTTTCACTTCCGCAAGATGGCGCTGTATCCCGATAGAGGCCGCTGTTGTTGACCGGGTGAATACAAGAAAGCTCCTCCGTTCTCAAAAAGGATAACGAATAATTCATGCTCATATACCCTATGCAAAGTTCAAAGAATTGTTCTGAGAAAAGCTCAGACAAGCTTCTACAAACCTCTTTTACGTCCAATATAAAAAGTATATCAATCTTATATTTTTTCCTCAAATACACAAATCATTATCTATCCCCTTCGAAAACGGTGTATCGTTTTTGTAATCACCGTCAGTCACTCGGTCGGCAATAGCGGCCTCTATCGGGGTACAGCGCTACCTTGCGGAAGTGAAAAAAACTTCTTAGACTCGTGAACCTCTCTGTCATGTATCAGCTGGATCCAACTGTCCCTTTAAAAAATTAAAGTTGAAAAGTTCCTTGCATTTTGAGACGGTCGAGCACAGGTCATTACCTCACTTGAGGTGGAATGCTCCACCTCCAAGCACCTTTAATTCATCTCTAAATGGGCATTACACAATTTAAGCAGGGGTGCTGAAAAAAAGCTGACAAGCATTTCAACACATGGTAACTATCAAATATCGTTCACGTACTCAATTTAATTTTTTTTTCTGAATTTGTGAAACTGTGTTTCTCCCATAGAAAACGGCAGAGCGTTTTTCTTAAACCACCCTATGTATGAGGAAGGATTTCTGCATTATTTTTCCAATGGAAATTAAATTCCTGTTCTTGGGTCATATAAAAGCATTGGCACCCAAACCTTGCGCGCAGCACTGCGTCTAATTTTCTGTTCGACTGTCAGAGGGTGTCCAGATCGGAGAAGGTCCTGTCCTGTCAAAATTTGAGTCGATACGGACAAACAACTGGCGGCTCACGGCTTCTCCTGATCAATTTCTTTCTGAATTGTCGAGTGGTTTCCGTCGCATTCGAAGTAAAACCGAACTTTTGCAACTCACTTATCATTGGTCAATCGTTTATCAGCAATATTCCTCAATCCTCCATGAATTGGAATTGATCACAGCCAAGGCACAATAACTCTCATACTCGAACAGACAGCTGTGCCGCAATGTTTTCACGTGCCAATGCCTTTGTTTAGCCCCCAGAATAGGAATTTAATTTCCAAATGATACCATTAGCAAAATAATGCAAAAATCCTTAATTCGATAGAGCATTGTCTAGTCTTCCGAATGGTTAAAACAGCATCTCGATGAGATTAAGCTTTGATAAGTTATTCACGTTCAAAGGTGAGCAGGACTTTTAACTCACTCTGTAGAGGAATAACTGAATCTATTAAATTTGTTTTGGATTGTTTTGATGAGTCAAATCAAGGCAAATAAACTATTCGAATATATTTTAAAAGAGAGTGAGTGTATTAATTAGGGACTGATACCTTCCTACAAGTGTAGACTGCAACGAAGAGGATTTTTTTTATTCACTGGGAAATAACATTTTAGTTACATTTTCAGGCAAAGAAAAACCCCACACTTGAAAACTTCACATATGACCCCAGATGAAGTGCCAGCGATGTGAGGGGAACCCCCTCTGAACGTCGGCCCAAGGAACCCCGATGGAAAATAGACATTTTCCTCATTTCATCTTTGATAACCACGACCACGTCCTCGACCACCTCGACCTCGCTGATAATCTCCTCCACCTATTAAAACAAACAGCAACAATTATAGCACTGAGGCATTAACATTGGCGTAAATTAATTCATACAATAATATAGACAAAGGGACCAGTAGTCAGAGGTCCTCAGAGGCAGCAGTGGATGTGAAGGGTTGGAGTTGAAACGTAGCAACAATTGAAGGACTTCGTGCAAGATAACGTCATGCCACCAACCTCTATTCTCGAGAAAATGGCCTTTAAATCGTGAAATGACCACACTGAAGCATTTGCAGGGGGTAGTTATGCTTCCTAAGACCGTTGTTTTTACATGGATGGAAAGCTTCCAAGCTGCATGCTGGAGATAATAGCAGTAATAAAAGGTCTGTGGCTATAACTCAATTTTAATTTTTTTTTAAGGCGGCTTCCAAGTACCTTGGACCAAGCTCTTCAATTTATTTCATGGAACATAAATTGAGAGAGGATAATAAGTACTCATGACATATGATCCGTATGTAGGCGGGTGTGATGGTCCATATTGGGGATAGGAGGGGAGTTGCATGAAAGGAGGAGCGACAATCAATGCTGTCCCTGTTGTTGGGTCACATGGCTGTATGTACAGTTCCTGCATTCCTGAGATCAGGCCTGGAGTCAAGAGAACCATGTGCCATCGAGTCACCTTGTGGACTGTCCTTAGCGTCACATCTACATCCTCGATGATAGTTTCATGAAGAATAGATCCCATGAACAAAAGACTAGTCTAATAAAATTTATCACATGGACACTAACTATTCCTGATATTCTTGGCTCCCAATTAAATTAGCTGGATAAAGAATAACGACGTTCTCCTGAATCAATCTGAACTAGTACACAAGATTCAATTAGCGTCCTCGGCAAGAAGATTAAGTACTAAAATGGGAGCTGTGGTACATGTTGGACTGGGAATAGTCATGCTTTCATGCTATGACCAGGGCTGCTCTAGGGTTCTAGCCCTGAAATTTCCGGAATTTGGTGGACTGCCTCCATAGATCCCGTTGAGCAACGCCCCTCCCTCCATTTTTTCCTACCGACAAGATCAGAAAAAAAGTATAATGCTAAGACGTCCATGTGGAAGCATGCCACATATACACGTAGAGTTGTCGATTCTATTGTTCTAGAACCAGTTAAAGAATGAAGAAATAAAAATTCCCCCCCCCCCCCAGTAATGTTTCTCAATTCAACCACTAGTACAGGAAATTGCTTACTTAAGTTGGCACTGTGTATAAACGCGTCAAAGTCACCGTTGATGGTTTTGTCTTGGAGCAGTTTGAAGGAAAGGATCGGAATCAAAGCTGGCAATGCCCGGCGTCGCATATTTGTTGAAGGATGGAAGCAGTGCAGGGGTGGGAGGAAGAAAAGAAGTAAGAGAGGGAAGAGTGGTAGGCGACAATCCCGTCGCTCATTTCTTTTTTTTATTTTTCTCCTTTTCTTCCATTTGACTATAGGCATTTATTCATGCCAAGACGACCTGCAGTCCCCGAGTCTGTCACTGTCTCTCTATTCTGAGATCGTAGCCCCATCCCATCCTTTTCCAAAAAATTGGCGAGGAAGACCAAAAGGAGAGAAGAGAGGAAAAAAGAAGACAATTGCGTAGACACCAGTCTTAAGAGAGAAACCTACTTTTACAGCACAATCCGTTTAGCCACGGGTGATACCCCAATGCAGTAGGAATTCCCGCAAACGCTGGATACGGGAGGAGAGGGAAACTTTTTTTCCGGTTGAGGGGAAGCCCAGGATATTAAGGGACTCGTGGCACTCCGCACGCGAAAAACAGGAAATATCACCCATCCGCTCTACGCCTCACGGTTCCTTTTCGAGTAATTGGATTTTTCCTATCTCCACTCCAACAAGACAGGTGCTCGGACGGGTGTCTTGCACCCTAGTCCTCACTGTCACTCATGACGTTCGCGAGCAGACGTACACACGTGCTCAACCGCTCGAACCAGAGCATTTGAACCACTGCCATCTTTCAGTAACAGCGCTTCTTTCGGCAGTAATACAATGTCAGTTGCTGTCAGTTTGTCAAGGGGAAAAACTTATCATTTAAAGTCCATAATACATTTTTTCTTATTGGAGCGGCTGGACCAGACGGGTCGCCGAGTTATAAAGGCCTGGCTAGAACTCTGTGCTGGTTTTTCTGCACTGGAAGGAAGAAGAAAGAAAAAAGTACTTTTGGCCCTCTAATCATATTTTGGATAATCACATCATACATGTTAGCAGTCATGTTACCACTCAAGACCATGATGCAACAATTCTACCCGACACTCGATGCATCATTTCATACGTATTTAAAGTCCAAATTGGATTTAGAACTAAGCCACATTTGAGTAGTGTACTTGTGTCTGCTTTCCCCCTTAACCCAGATATGCCAGATATTCTATATGTATGACGACGTGCAGAGATGCGCGGGGAAAATTATCTTTCGTAGTTCATTGTCGATCAACAGATAGCACACAAGACTCAAGTAGTTCTTCAGCCTGTGTCTTGCAACTGATCAAGCTGCGTCCATTCAAACAGCTGACCAAGACACGTCAAAGTTCATAGTGTACGTCTCTGCACGCCGTCCTACATATAGAACGGCAAGGATATCTGGATTAATTTCAATAGTAATCGTTACTCCATACTGCTGCCAATGTGTCAGCATAGCTACGCTCCCGGTGGACACGAGTCTGTGCTTTACAGCAACAATTTTCAAGCGAATGCCGTAAAGGGTGGATTCACTTTAAAATCAGAACTGCCATTGCGAAGAATTCACCTTCCATGTAGACTTATCCACCCAAAATCTGTGGACTTCTTTCCCAAATTTTTGGAACTCCCTACCTTGATGTTGATAACCACCACTGTTGTCTCCTCCAGACCATCCACCAGAGAAGGCCTGGCTTTGTCCCTGGCTCCAATTCCCCTGAATTCTTCCTCCTCCCCTGTGATATTCTCCACGTTCACCCCCATGGAATCCTCCTCCTCCTCCGCGTCCGCGACTGAAACCTTCACAGATTAAAATATATGAGTCACATTGTGCATTATACAGCTCATTTGTCATAATTTCAGACTGCCGGAGCTTCTGTCATAGCTGGAGATGAGAGGAGCTGAGTCACCTGCAGTGGTGTAGCTAATCTAAGGGCTAGTGGAGGCTGTCAATAAGCTAATAGGCTAGTTTAGATACCTCTGGTATGGGAGTAGTTTAATTAAGAAAGTGAATAAGAGTAAACATGGAAATATCAATGCAGGATTGGTGAAACATGACTGAGACGTTGCCCCCAAACTAAGCTCATGAGTGCTACACATACAAGAACATTTGTAAAAGATTTACATGTCATGGTTTCGTGGAATTAAGGGGGATTTTGGAGCTTTCTAAACTTCTGTGTGTAGACGGCTTGCTGAAGGGTGAAGAGTGTCGTGCGTACTATGTCCATCTCTACTGAAGGGAATGTGGAAGGCTGTGGGTAGCGTCGACAGAGGGAGAAGTACTCAAAGTGTAAGTAAATCCTAGCAAGGATTTTTCGAGACTCCCGCCGACGTCATTAGAGAGCTTGCGGAATCCCGTCCGCAGGATGGGATGTTGTTCGGAATACGGGATCGGATATTCCAGGTGATTTCGTTTACGATCTCGTTCCCGTACTCACTCCGCAAACTCTTAATTGACGATCTTTCTGCCGGAATGGGGGGGGGGGGGGGGGGGGGGGGGGGGGTGTATTTCACATGCCGTTCTGGAATACCTAAATCGTAGGCCATCCCAATAAATTTCCTATAAGAACCCTACTTTTGGATATATTTCCAAGATTTTACTCAGGGGGGGGGCAAGCAGTTTGTCGAGGTGCCTTATGGCGTTACGGTATCCTAGAATGCTTTATGGCCAAAATGAATAGTGGTGGGGGTGGATCCATCTGCAAGTGCAAGTAGCTATCGCATGAGAACTCGTACCACCTCCCCAAATGAGGGTTATAACTTTCCATTGCTAGTTCAATTCGATTTAATATCAATTCATGAATTATTGACTGATTTATTTTCATAATAAAATAAATTGACTTTTCCTCAATTCCTTGTTTTTTTTAATGGTGCAGTTCTTTCTTTGGCATCACTTTCTTTATCCATTGTTTGGGAGGACACTAGATAATTATTATGAACACATTAGCATGAAACAAAATCCAGTCTCAGCCTCTGTGAATCTGGCTCCGGTGTCTGTCGGATTCTGGAGCCTTTTCCTGCCTTTGGTCCCAGGCCCCACCATTCATGCTGTCAGAAGACCTCATCAACAGACTAAAATTTCCCTGTCAAGTTCTCCTAATCACTCCTTGTCCCATTACAAAAAAAGAATTGGTGATAAATAGTTACAGGAGTTGGAACAGGACTGATACAAATGAGACATGAAATTTAAAATTCTGTATGTGAGCATGTGGGTGGGAGAGAAAGAGAATGAGTGAGACTTGGTGTTTCCATTAATTTGCCTGAGAAAACATGCTCTTGTCTACTGCCAATGGAACTGCAAAATCAGCATTGAATTATCCTGTTATTTACAAGCATCCCAAAATTGGGATGGTCATAAAGTATGCCTTCATTTTGTAGAAAACATTGTAAATGACTTGAGCGTGGCAGTACTCGTTTTCCAAGACTGTATCCTGTGCCCCCTGAGTAAAATCTTGGAAATATATCCAAAAGTAGGGTTCTTATAGGAAATTTATTGGGATGGCCTACGATTTAGGTATTCCAGAACGGCATGTGAAATACTTCGCCACAAATTAGTTAGGGTAAAATCATCAAAGTTCGGACATTCTAACGTTTATTGTTAATAAATACGTATTCGCGAGATAGACATCAGACAGTTCTTCTTAACCCAATATGACCATGTTACTAAGCGAGAGTGGCCAAGATCGGTGAGCACGATTTTGATATATCGGGGTGAAATGAATACGATGTCGCGGACAAGAGAAATTCAATATAATTTACGGAGACGACCTTACTTAAGAAACGGTTCCCACACGGTATTGTTAATTCTGTGATCTATTCTTATTCTACAGGAAACTAGGGAACGTAGAGCACTGCTACAGGGGAATACACATGCCATAAGCGTATTTCCACATTGCTTCTGGTTAGTCTAAGTTCTGTTCGGACTTCATTTTTTCGCATCTAAGTTCGAACACCCACGTAATAGGAATTCTTGGAAGCTATAAGGCTTCGATGGTCATCATCTTTACCACACACTCATACCTACTCATATTGTGTTGTCGGACGCAAAAAAAAATGAAGTACTTGGGTTGAACCATTAAGGCGTGACGAGCGAATTACAATTCCATCCCGGCCTAATTGTCTGGACATTGGTGGTTATACCCTATATGGAGACCTCGACCGGGACCGAAAAATAGGCAGAAGCATAGTAGAATCGATTTTCAGAAACCGGTTTTAACTATTACCTATTTTTAGTTACATGCAAAAACCCGGACTGGAACTGTGGAAGTGTTTCAGCTATAGCTTTCCTCCAGATCAGTGGTTCTCAACCTTTTTGATGTCGCGACCCATCAAATCCTCTGCCAATACTTATGCGACCCACAAATGTAGAAACATCAAGAAAAAAAGTAGTCGTGTGACGCGAAAAACACTCATCGAATTTTAAAAGTATGGAAATTACGTTTAGGATAGATTGATATTGGGATAGGCGATTCCTTCATTATTCCTTTGCTACTTTACATCTTTGAGCTTCCTCTGAAAGAAGTTAACTTCTTCAATGTTCGCCGATTTCGATCTAAATGCCGTTTCAAATTTGAAAGCTTCATGGATGCATTGGGAAGCATTTCACCACAAACTATGAATTCTGGTTTCATACTTTCTGACGCAATGAAACCACACTGAGGTATGAATCATTATGATTCCGGATTGGTATTCGCTTTTTTTTACTCTTTTTTTCTTTTTCTTTTTGAAAAAGCCTAATTTTGTCCCAGTGACTTCAACAGTGGTGCAACTATTAGTACCAGCGTTTGCACTCGATTTTCTCAGGAAACGTTCCATTAGCATTTCATTGTTGAAACTTCGTTGTTCAAGTAGCAGAAAAACGAAATCGAGAATACGAACTTCGGATTCTGCCCACAAAAGAGCGTCACCCATAATTACAGCAACGAGGAACCAGGGAGAATGCTGGAACTGACGAGAAGTTTACTGGACATGAAGGTTAAGAGCAAGATTTATTTTAAAAGACAATTTGTAGCTGTTTGCTCTTTTCGGAATCGCTTGCCAGGAAGTCTTCTCCCTGTGCTGCCTTCTAATCTGGATGAGGAGATCAGATCGTTCCTGAAAGGTTTAGCTCATGTAACACTGTTCTGAAGTTCGGTTTGGTGCTTATGAATGATCTCTGTCTTCTCTAACCTCTCACCAATTTTCTTAATTTCATTCTCTTGCGACCCAGCTAGAAAACCATCGCGACAAACCGGTTGAGAATCACTGCTCCAGATGAAGATAGATGCTTCATTCTGGTGTCATTTTTGTGAAATTGCTTTCTTTTCAATAGTATATACAGCAAAAGTGTTTTTTTTTAGTGCTTCAGGGAGGCACTAAAAAGTTCTACTGAATCCGGGAGTTTCATGATCGAACTTTCCGATGATTCAAAAATCTTGAAATGAGTAAAAAAAATTCGATAAATTTTCATAAAAATTTGAAATGATTATTGGTGAAAATACGATTGAAATAAAATTTGAAATTTAACATAACTATATTATCTGAATAAGTTAAAATGAAAATAATTAAAATACAATTAAACCCAGTATTTAGTCCAAACTTTCATTTGGTGAAATAAAAAATAAATAAAAAAAACATGGGGGGGGGGGTAAAATCGTGCCTGAGGAGCATATACACGCCAAATTTAAACTCAATATGAGGTAAAAAAAAAAAGAGATTAATAAGGTAAGAGAGCATTTGAATGATATCCATTGAAGGAAAAAATAAATATTTGAACAAAGGGTAAAAACAAGGAAAAACCAGAATTTGAGGTAAGGCTGGAGGCAACGGCTCCATCCTTACCTCAAATCGATCCAGCAGGCCAACAAAAAAATATGTATGTCTCCAGGGGGATTCTGAAGCTCTTTAACTTTCCTGGCTGAGAACCTAAAAAAAAACCCTATCCTGATTGTTGACTTGCACAAAATTTTCAGGAAAGAACACAGTTCTATTTCTCATTTTATTACAGCAAAACTACAGAGCCTACTGTTATGAAAGGGGAGTCAAATCAATTAAAAACAAGAAACCTCTTGGTCTGTCAGGAAATGGTTGGGCCATACATGGCATAAAAACATCTTGGCACCAAAGAAATTACTGACAGTTACTTTTTTATCACGCCTAAATATTAACGTTTCAGGAATATTAAAGAAATTGGAAACGTGAAAAAATATGGAACTCAAGGTTTCCACACCACCTCAAATAATATTATTTAAAAGTAGCATCCAATAAGTATATAGGGGGAATTTAATTTAAATGCCATAATTGAAAATAAACTTGATTAGAATCAGTCCACCCTGACGGTAGTCACATATTTTTTAAATGCGAACGATGCAGGTTTTAACCACTGACATCACTGCAAGTAGGAGAGACACAGTTCATAACATCCTGCAATCAAAATACATTTTTTTATTAGATACATTGCATCATGACAGGTGACAGATGCAATGAAGGAATTATGCTGATCCTACCTAGCACCTGCCATATTATCACATAGTCAATTGAACTTTCAGTGTTGCTAACTTGAACCTTTATCACCTACTTCATATACAACCCTATGGTCTCCTCCATGCAAAGACCACTAGCATCAGATGCCTCCTTGCGATAATAGTCACTAGAATATTCACTCTTTCCATCTGGAGCTAGAGAAAAGAATTTCTTGCAGGTAGGCTAGTTTTCATTTCAGTCCTTCAATTATTAGGAGGAGCATTCAATTACATTTGTAATTAATTCAGCAAACTTGCATATTTTATGATTCTACTGTAGCTCTGAATCTCTTTCCACCATAGAAGTTGAGAGATGATGCCAGACATGAAAGAGGGTCAAGCACTTGAACTGATAATTTAGCTTTCAAGAGCATGCATTAATTTAATGAGTCCAGTTCTCCACATAAGTCATAATAACAATAGGTTTCTGCATTTTATGAGGATAAGATGGATGAGTATAATGGGGAGAGGATAGACAGACTTAGGCATTATGATTAATTAACTGCAGTTCTCCTTATATACACATGTGATGGGAGCTACCTAGTAAGAATTTGTCATAATCCAGCATTCCATTGCCATTAAGAGCTTGTGGTTATTCTCTTGAATGCAGTGCTTGTAAGATCCCCATGTAGAGTATTGTGTGTAATATTGGAGGTTTGCAAATGGTCTATGAGGACCTCATTTGGAAACTTTCACTTGAGAAAGGTTAATAAGGGGAGACTACATCTGGGGATTTAAGATCACTAAAGGAAATTGAAAATGTGGAACAAGGGATGTCTCTCTACCTCAACTGTAAAGGCAGAACAAGATGGAACCAATTCAAGCTGTGTGAACTCCAAGCTTCCAGAAAGACTTCTTTACTTGATAGTAGTGAATGTTTGGCCTGCATTATGAGATGATGCCACAATGGCTGCCCCTTTCATGATTAGCTTAAAGAAGAGGTTGTATGCATGAACAATACAAAAGATGGACCAATGTAGCTGTGAGTCTGGGATGGATTACCCTCCATAAAAATATCTATCTGTAATAGGGGTTGGTATATCTTATTTTTAAGAAACACTCAACCAAGATACAGAACATCATTAGGGGAGAAAATGCCTCTTGAATTCCTAAGCAAAACCACTTTTTCCTCTCAAAGCAACATGCAAAGCTAAAATTCATGAAATGAATACAAGGCATGAGCTGGGTTATTTTAGCACTCAACAATGATATATTGTTGTTTGATCCTTGCAAGAAAAGGAGGGAAGGAAGTTCTTGGCACTAAGAGAGTTAAAGGTCTCACCTCCACCACCTCTTTGTGGTCCAGGTCCAGACGATCTCTGTTGCCAGCTTGGCATCTCAGGAGGTGGTGGTTCCTGTTCACTTGGTCTTCCTCCTCTGTCTGGCACCTGAAATAAATTAATCTAAATATTCTATTCAGATATTTAAAAAACATTAAAAAAGAGGGAGCACTTACTCGCCCAATGACAACTTTATTAAGGGGGGTTGAGGTATTCTTGCGAACAGATGCTGATGATGTCTTTTCAATGTAAGCCAGATCCTCTCGAGCAGCAAGAAGGTCTCCAAGGGTTACATCTGGTATAGTAGTGAGCTTTCCTCTTCTTGGGGCATATATATTTTGAATTTCATCTTCACGTGCTTTTGCGTTCTCTGCCCACTGCAAAAAAGACACACCAGCAGAACTGTTGTCGTAATAATCCCTGCAACCACTTGGGTTCATTCAATGTCTTTTTTAGGCACAACCTTGAAAGACAGGATAGTGACATCAAGCCGTTTCAGCAGCATCTCCCGTCGAATTCGGTATTCCTTATCCATTTGCTTTTGCAATTCTTCCAGCATATGCCATTGCTTGTCACTCAGAACCCCAGAAAATAATGGATTTCCTACTTTGGCCTTGCTTGCTACCTCTTTCACCTGTCAAATTGCATGAATGTCAATGAAAAGACAATAGTATACAACAGTCACTTTTGAGTATAGGGACAAAACTTCACCTTTGTTTCCACTTTCCCAAATAGCTGTTGAGGTGTAACATTTGGGGGAGGCTTTGAAAAACCCAAGGATACCAGAATTTTTTTTAAATCAGCTGCAGTGGGACTCTCCTCCTGCAGTGATGGATACAGGTACTTCAACTTTGATCATGCAAAAGTCATGACTACAATTATTAGCGAGGATATGAAGAACTCACCACAGCCACATGCATACTCCTGTCTTCAGTACCTTTATTCACATGAATCATGCGAGCAGCTTGCAGCTCCGTTGTCAGGAAATCAAGTAGTATTAGTCTATCTTCACGTGATGCCAAGCGTTTATTCACAGGACCCTCCATCAAAGTCTTGTGAGGACAACCTGGTGGGAAAGAACATATTCTACTGCTTCTTAGGGTATTAAGTTAGGTCAATATCAAAGGAATCTATAAATAATTTCTGAGGATCTGGCATGGGCTTAGGCCCAAAATTTATTTGAGTTGCATAAGGCCTATTCAATTATGAGCCTGACAGTAGTGCCACAACATTGTGAACGTACCAAGTTCCTTCAAGAAGGAACTCAGCTCAAGAAGAAAGGAAGAAGAGTCTTCTGCTTCAGTTATGGCATTTACATGATCCTCAAGGTCACACAGTGCCTTCAGCTCCAGACTCAGCCATTCCACGAGTTTTGTATAAAGAGGATCTTTTGGACCGCTCTCAAGAGCCTTCTCTATCCCATCTCCACCTTGGATCAGCTCACAGCTTGAATTAAAAGAGTTTTGAATTTCATTCATGCAAAGACTGCACCCAGATCTAAGAAATAAGCCTACCTTCTATCATCATATGGCATGCAATGTGAAATAATTGCATTAATGAAATGATTTGATACAGCTTTAATTACTCAAACCAGCATTTTTGAAGAGTTCATTTTATAAATCTGACTCTGACACATGGCAGCCAAAGCACCTAATTTCTATAAGATATACTATAGTTCACACTTCATGTTTATAGGCAATGGTTGATTTCAAAACAGCTGTTCAGTTCTAGTTTCAGTTCAGACTTTTACCTGACTTAGTTCCACTGGGCCCTTGTCGACTTCTATTATAAAGGAATCCCAACTGGAACTGGATCTGAACTGTGCCTGGACTACAGTTTTGAAAACAACCATTGACTTATAAAATAGGCTTATAAAATTTCAGGACCAAGCATGATGCTTGGGTGCCCCTGTCAATTCATGTCTCAATAGCTTCAAGTAATTTTTTTCAAATGCCTTAATTTCAAAAGTCAACTTTTTTCTTATTTACAGTTTTCATGTTGGGGTGCAACAGTTGAAAGAAGGGGAGAGAGACATAAGATGACTTCATTCAACCAGTTTTATTTTAGTTTCTTTGGTTTCATGATGTCTCTAGCTTCATTTTACCTCTAGTTAACAAAATGGAGGCACACTATGATTAAACTAGCAGAGTGAAACCAATTTTCTGTTTAGTTTATATTCAGTTAACTGAAAGTACCATTTTAAACTTTCCTTGTTCCAATTGCAATAAAGTGAAACTGGAGCTAAACTAGATATACTGGAATTAGATGAACAGTGACATCTGGGTTCCCAGGCACAAAAATGGGAATAAACTGAAGCAGATAGGCTAACTAAGAACATGTTTAAAGTAGTGCTGGTGTCAGTTTATTAAGAATTCCCAAGTACAAATGGTGAGTACTTGCATTTTTAACTTACCTCCAGATAAGTATCAGTTTTGTTCCAGTTTACACCTCTAGTTAACAGGGACAGAATATACTATACTTTATCTTCAGTTTGGAAAAAATTCCAGCTAAGGTGCCATTTTCCAGACCAATGAAACTTAATATATTCAAAGTAATTGTTTCTATACATAAATGCTATGGTCATGTGTTTAAGTGAATTGTTACTGGTTACATGTAATGATGGGTGTAGGAGGAGTACTGACATCAGTAACGTGCTGCAGATTTTGATTGAGCTGAACAGGCATAGAGTGCCATGTTGCTGCAGGGCCTGCACACTGTATTCAATGAAGGCAAACAGAGATGGTAACTGGGCCAGAGGTGCAGTTGTGAGAAACCAGTAAGGTGTCAAAGGTCAAAGAGTGAGAAAGTCAACCTATTTTGGATGATGATAGGTCAGTTGGATTAGAAAAGGGTTGTGGCTGAAGGTCACAATTACTTTCTAACCCATCTGACCCATCATTCTCCAAAATAGGTTGACTCTCACTCTTTTGACCCAACATGGAAGGAATGCAGCTTCATTGGTATATGCTTATAGTTAGTTCTATGCAGTGCACTTGGGTTTATGAAAACCCAAAAAAAGCTGGTGAAATGTTAGTCTGAGTCTCTACCTCCGAAGTGATTATGGAATTGATTAAATTATGAAATCATATGGGTGGAAGGGTCAGAGGTCACATAGGATGGGGTTAGAATGGAAGCAAGGACAGACAGTGCACTTGACTCCTATAATTCTAATGACGTGCTTGTAGCAGTGTGAATATTCCCAGTCATGCCCAAACCGTTATGTACAGTTCTCTCAGGAAATACTGACCACAAGCAAATTCTGGTAATATTTTGTGGGAACCCATGAACACCTCTTTCATGCATGATATGATTCAATTGAAAGGTAAGAAGTTGTATTGGCCTGCGAAATGGCACCTTAACCAAAAATTTCAGTTAACTGGAGATAAATAAGATCAGGACTTAAAATCAGCTAGAACTATAATTACATTGCTTCATATGAAATTACTGACAGTCTGCTTGAAAAAACATCCTTCGGATCCTCACTTAGGCCTAAGCCTACTATGTAAAATTTTTTAATTTTGTCTGGCATATTTCCTTTAATTCCTGGTTTACTGATTTATTCATTAATTTACAAAAACCAGCTTATTGCAACTACATAAGCCAGGGTTTAAATCAATACCCAGGTTTACTTTCATTTATATTGTTTGGGTTTACCCCAATTCTCCACACTTCGGGTGCTGAGTGTAGTAGGTCTAATGGTCCTTTCCATCGCACGACGCCACTGATTTAAAGCGACTTCATTTTCTACCTGTACCACCTTTAGCATTTCCTATGATTTTATGAACACTGAGGATACAACTCTTAAAATTTGAACCATGTAGAAGGTGGCCTAAGATCCAGGGATTGCAAGTCACGCAGCTTACCCGAGGTCGTCGAGGGAATCCAATATATCATTCTCCATATTTTCGATACACACAAGGAGAAGCTACTACAAATCGGCTCTTCATCCGCTGCCGGGAGGGCCAATAGGCGCCGTCATGTTTCTACCTGATGCCACAGTTCGTGCTGCATCGCGCAGAAGTCCACCTTTTTCGGAGTCTCCAAATCCTCTCTCACAGGGGTGTCTTCTCACGACCGAAATAATATATCTTCACATCGATTGCTCTGGGCTTTCAGGATTCAATAGCGGAGGGGTCTCCTTCGATATATTTCCTCATATGAAGATATATCTCAACAAGAACGCATCATGATTCTGATCGTGGCACCGACATCCTGCCCACGGAGGCCTAAACCAGATGTGAACAATGTGAAGAAACTGTAGCCTGAATTTGCGGGAGACGGAAGGTGGGGGGGGGGGGGGGGGGTTTCCATCCCGCGTTTCGTTGAAGGACTGAGATGCTTGCCAGTCTTGATCGTCATTGATCCCGCATCCTGGTTCCCCACAACAAAAGGCTGAAGTCCCAGACGTCACTGGAAGTGGATTCCTTCATACGATATCCCTCCGAAGGCACTTATGATCCTGTAGGACACGATGGTCTCCGGCCAAGCAAGGGCAAAGGCTTGCCTGTCACATCACGGAGGAACAGAAGATGGTGCCCGAATGGAGAAGTCAATCTTACGCATCGAAAAAGCTGATTTGCTGGATAATGTGCCAATAGATTCTCTTCGTCAGATGCAGTGTCAGTCTGCTGCTTGCACTAAAGGCGGTAGCATACTAAGGTTCTTTGTCAACAAGAACGAAGCAAGATCCTGCGACTGAAAGTCAATACGACCCCTCCCGGCACAGAGCTGTGAAATATTTGAAATCCACAAACATTCACGACTCACAGCCACTCGTACATATCCTTCAGTTCTTCTAGGACATGATCGGAGCAGAAGAAAAGAGAACCAAGTCCGAAGAATGCCTGTTTGTTCAACCTTCCAACAGACACCAATCTGTTGAAGTAATTGGATCCTCAACCGCCGTTGCTCGAGGAGTACAGACGTACTCCTGGTCATCGAAAAGCACATCACCTCTCAAGTTCACAGAGACTTCACCTCTGTCCGAAGTGTCTCATTGAGAACCAGCCAGCAGCCTTAACTTCATCGACGAGATTCATGCAGTTTCTCCAGGGAAAGAGGACTTGCCATTTCTGGCACCTGTTAATGCGGCGTTTTGTTTGCTGAGGATATGGTGTTCGGGAAACATCATCATGATCTAGATCTGTCATCTTCGAATATGATGGCCAGAAGCGTCATCAGATCGCTGCGATAAGCATTGGATCCATACGGTTATAATACTTGTGAATCAATAAATGCTACACTATACAATATAATGCTGCGCAACAAAATTGCTTCTTCTAAATCATCAGAATGAATTAAATGCATTATTAAGTAGATGTATCCTTTTAACACGAGTTTTACTCAGAGACAGCACACATTATCATTAAGGCGTCCACACTGCATCTCGAGGATTGAAAGACGCGGACGATTAACCTTAGCCCAGGAGATCCTTTCTGTTTCCCAACAAATCCTTCCGCGCAGCTGCATCCTCGGTTCGCTTTCGACTACGCTATTGTTATCGTTTTATCCGCTGCCACATGGTGCGAAAAATAAAAAAATCAATGAACAGAGGGGCTTGAAAAGGCATCAGAAGACGCTACCGGCAATCAACCAAGGGCTGCCAATGAGATGAAGAAACTGATGATACCGATACAAGGATTCCATGAGTTTCACGCCGAGCAGTGAGCCAAGCATTTCCACCCTCACTTTCGCTGTCGTTAAAGAAATGGCACTTTTCGGAATTATTTGGATGGGAACGAATGCAAATTGTAATCATGCAAAGATAGAAAGGGACTGCGATATGACTCACGATTCAAGCTCCTTCGAAGAGCTCCGGAGAATAGTGATAAGCTATCCACTACAGTCGGCTAATGTAAGAAGCAGGACACTCAAGGGGGGGGGGGGGTTTGGGTCAGCGTTTCAGTTCCAGCGCAAGTTCTCATGAGAATGAAAATGCCGATCTTTTACTGACTCCTAGGGATACTCATACTTGCAACTCGTTATTTCTCCTACTTTGGTCTCCATTTTGCCGTATCTCCTGCATTGAGGAAAATGTTATCTTTGCCACTGCATCTCCTGCCTTCTCTCTTCCCGGATCGGGATTTATCTTCATTGAGACAAGCTGACTGGCTTTTGATTGACTGACCGGAGGGCGGACTGAGAGAATTTGAATACCTGTGCGTTTGAACCTAAAAACGTTTCCTCCCCGCCTCATCTTCCCTTCCTCCCTCAAATTTCATGCCAAGATTCGCAAGAATTCTGATATTCCTTCTTCCAAGCATGGTATCTCTTCAACACGGTTGTCTAGGTCATGTATGAGAATTCCTCTCATCCAAATCCGCCATCATACACAGGATAGTCTCACTCCGAGAATTTCGATGCTTCAGTATCAGAGTAACCTCGAGACAAGAACTAATTGGCAGGAGTTCCCTGTCCATCATCAGCAGGGATTATCTATATTCCAAGCTTCGCTCGAATGCAATTCGCGGAAACAAGGGGGGGGGGGGAACAGTCGTCGTTTATGATGGAATCTCTCCGCATCTCTTCCCTTGTTCCCGACCTCTTGGCAAGAAAAAAAAAAGATTATAAGAAGACTCTTCCTGAGAACACCGCATGCGACGTCTATGAGCCCACTTTTCAAATATTCGTCTTGGAATGAGATTGCTTTCCAAGTGGGACCGTCAAGAGCTTCCTCTCTGTTCATAAATTTAGTATTTGTTTGGAAGGATCCCATTCCCCGGTGGGAGGAGGTAAAAAGTAATTCAGACTATTTAAATTATTATTTACTTTTAATCTATTTCCAGGACAAAAAAATCCGCTAGAGAAGAAAAAAAAACATGCGAAATAAGATTGAAGGAAAACAGACAGAAATCGCAGGGCTAAAAAATTCATCATTAAATGCTCTTCTGAAGAGCATACCTGGATCTCCATATAAGTGAGACACGAATATTACATTTCTTGACTGTGCTTCGCTCATGGCCCGTAACAGGCAGGGAGGGAGGAAAAGTATGGAACCTACTGTCTCTATCATAAGTGGTATGCATGGAGGAGATTCTTCGAATCCGTTTGATTTTCAGATTTGGGCCACCGAAAACAAGAATATACGAGGAACAGGAATATTTCCTTTCACAGAACTGGATTCTTATGAGTCTCGCTTTCGGATACGCCGCTGACTCTCAGAATCCAAGCTGTCAGCAACATCATCTGAGCGCTGATGACTTGTTTTCGGAAGAGAGAAAAGAGGGCGAATAAGCGGGATTTCGTTGCCCGTATCTTTCGTTGCTACGGAGCCAGGTCAGGTCAAAAAACATTTGGGAGATAAAGTTAACCATCGTACGAGAGGATATAATTCCTGGGGGCCACTCGTAAATGAAACGCCTGGCTTAGCGCCACGACCCGGGAGTTTCTTCACCTTCTGTCTCCCCAATTTTAGCATCACATTATTTATGCGTGCCAGAGAACGAAGAGCACCTTGTCTATCAATTTACCCTGGATAGTTCGGGCATCTAAGTTGTCCAGTTGTGTAATTTCCTGTACGCCACCTATGCGACCCATCCTGCCCTTTGCTCTCACATACTCCTCTGATAATGATGTCAACGATGTTTTAGAACAGGAGTGGCCAAACTACATACACTTCTGCAGCATTTCGAACGGCCCGTCGGCTGTTGCCCTGCAGCAACAAAATGCGGCCGGCAGTGATAGCTAAGACATCCATCCCAGCATGACTACGTGGACCCTTCCAAGGGATCAAGTGTTACAGCTTCATTCAGGCACCTGTCAAAGCAGAGGCGGACAAAGGATCTGCGGGCGCGACAGAAATATATTTTCCGAGCTTGAGAATGATCGGGACGACGACTAAACTGCTGTGTCTCGCGAAGGCTTTAGTGTTTTCTAGTGAGGCCCGCAGACTAAAATGCTGCCCACCCCTTTCTAGAAGGTACAGTTACGGCAGTTCCTGGTCTCCCGAAAATCTCACCGATCCCCTTGCCGTAAAGGTTCTTTCTGAGCATCTTGTGGACACATCGTTTCTCGTTATTTCATTCTTCTATTTTGACCAGTCTGGTGAAGAGGAGCCACGTATATTCGTTAGTGAGTCGAAAGGGCGACGATGCCATTGTTGCTTAGATTCGTAGATTCGGAAACAACAGCTGCGAATTTCAAAATCGAAAGCAATCGATTCGTCCATTTGTATGGACACCATGAAGTCAAATAGCAATCTTTTTTCATGACGGCATAACGTGAATCCGATCTAAATTTCGATGGTTCGAATCGTGTCAGTCCCATCGATTCTTCATCGATATCCCTTGGGAAGAGAAGCAGATTCCCGTGAAGTAACCACACATCGAGCAACAAAGAAAAAAGGAACTGAGAAAATAGGATGAGTAGCAGCAAGGATAGCAGATACAGCGAAGGCAGGAGAGAAAAAAAAAAACCAAGAAAATAGCTGAAATAAGAATAGCATCGAGGTCTATGATTCGTTATTTAACTAGGTCTATCTGCGCGTCCCGACCAAGTGTCATTTTTAACCTCCTCAGGCCAGAGGAAAATGAAAGCCAAAGGATTTGGCACGTATATATGCTGCTCATGTCTGAAGAGATTATGCAGTCTAACAAGTATCTCTCAAGAGTCCGGAAGTCGACATTTTCATGCACATTTGGACACGAGCCGGAAGTGAAATGGTCTCTACGTCTCATGCATATCCTTCTGGCATTTCTAGTATCTCTGCTTATCCCCAGCGCGGAGCTCTTCCAAGGAATTTGAGTCCCGAATAGCAGACCCTTACGAAACGTCCAACTCCCATGGGATTTGGAACCAAGTGGATTTCCCCCTAGGAAATATCCCTAGGCGGTATTTCCACTTGTTGGAGCGATGTTCACTCGGGGGAAAATCCACCCGGGAGGGAAAATCTACCTGGCTCAAATACAGTGTTCCATAAATTAGTTCATCGAGGGATTTTCAGCTATTCTCACTTTAATTAATTTAATTAATGTTGTGTGATATTGTTTTTGTTAATTGCCATTATTGTTAAAAGTTTTATTTTCACCCTAGGTGAAGGAAGACGCACGCTTAAAAATTTCTACTAAACATTTAGATTAATAACGAAGTTAATAAGAATTTAGCATAGTTGAAAATCCCTCGGTAAACTGAAATTATGGAAGACCATGTAAATGTGCGCGAATGACTAAAAACGAGGATAAAGCAACAAAAGCAGCGTAATAATGTCATGTGGCTGGAGAAGGCAACGAAACAAAGGCAGATTTCAAATAGCAATTGATGGGGGGAATAGCAATAGCGACAATTTAACCTACGCCTGGAGACCCTGAAATTTCTATCCAGAGACTTTCTATATTCAAACAAGTTCCTCGATTTCCTTCTTTCGATACGACAGTATGACTCAAGAGTGCACAAACGTCAAAAAACGAATAATATAGCCGGTGCTTCCAGTTCCTCAATAGAATCTCATCTAATCTAACACTAATCTAACGTGAAGTTCAGACCGTAATCCATCGGATGGTCTCTTCTCATTCGACTTCGTGCAAGGTCTGCCTGGCGGAAGGTGCCTTTCGACGACACGAGGGCTTTCGAGAATTTCTTCATGACTCCTCATAAATAAAACGCCGAAAGATAGCTGCATCCGTAATCGCTTAATCGTGACACGATTCGATCCGGTTCCATACATGCACGATGAAGGACTCGTCGACTGCGGGAACAGCGGATTTTCCCTCCGCATCGGCGTGGAAAGGTTCTGAGAAAAAAGATCAGGGGAGACGATAATGCGTTGGATGTCGTGGACGCTGAATGGGACGTTCGTGTCACTGGGCGAGCGAGCGAGCGAGTGCGAGGGCAGGCGAGAGACGCAAGGTAATCACTTGGAACCTCGACCACGAGACGTGAAGTGTTCGTCCGGTGCGCCAGTAGTTGAATCTCGTTTGCACGGATTCTCAGTTGGGGTAGGAGATGGGGTTGAGTCATGTGCCCGAACTCACTGCCCTGGATTACGGTGTTTTCGGTCTATCCCTCCTGATTGCCTTAGCAGTAGGATTGTATTGTGGTTATGCCGGGAGGAGGGACTCTCAGAAACAGTTGATAGTGAGCGAAGACTTGAACATAATACCCATCGTCCTCTCTCTGATTGGCAGTTACATATCCGCCATTGTCCTCCTCGGTAAGCCGCTTCTTCCAAGTCCTCATGGCTCATTATCATATCATTATTAGTGTGCTTCTTTCAGTTTTCATTCTTTTTATTTCGAGAGTCGTATTTTTACTTTTCTCCTGCACTGAGAAACGCAGACAGCCACGCACTCATTTTTGCATATATTGCAATAGTTTATGAAACCAGTGCCATCGATCACTCGGTGGGAGCAAATAACACCCGCCATTCATATACCGTATTTACGATAGCCCTTTATCCCCCCATAGCTAACAGAAATAATAACACAGGAAAGTAAGAGAGCGACACACACACACACACACACACACAGAGAGAGAGAGAGAGAGAGAGAGAGAGAGAGAAATTAGGCTGTAAAATGAGAGACCGGAAACACGAGCCAGAAGAAGTTGTCAATATCATTATATGATTTTAAAGAAATGCGGCGTCCGCCAATGTTTAGCTCTAGTTCATTTATGGCTTTGAGTCTTCGGTTGCATGGTAAGTAAAATTAGGCCTCGTCTACACCGTCTTTTTTGCATAGACAATGAGAGAATGTGCAGTATTGCAAAATAAAATTTCTTGAAAATCTCTTAGAGCATTAAAAATCCTATAGGTTAAACTTTCAATAGTGTCCTCACCGAGAAATAATTTTATCGATGAGATTCTTTTTTTTTCTTTCCTTTCAAGTCGACTAGTGGAAAAAAGCCGCAGAGAAAACTTTCTGGTGTGGACAAGGTCCGTAATGCACACAGACCTTTGCTTTTTGCACCTCTCCCCTTTGGAGCCGGATGGCTTTAGTCCTCCAGCTCGTAGAACCCCTGGGTTCAAGCGGAAGAGGCCTTCCCAGAAAGGCATGAACCTCGCAACAGCTCGAAAATCGATGTCCTATTCAGTCCCTTTGAGGCAAACGAAGGCAGGTTGTAGCTGCAATCGTATACTTTCTTCGAGAAGTTGAAGTTCACTGGCGCACCACCAGTGATGCAATGTACTTTAATGCATGCTTATGTTCCAATTTGATACAATTAACACGCAAGCACTCAAGTCTTGTGCATTTCATTTTTTCGTAGGGGTCCATAAAGTGGCACATTATGGGCAATTCTTTCACTATGTTTTAAAGTAAGCACTAGGCCTGGGGAGGTATGTCACTTTTCGTGTTCTTTCACTATTTTCCACTTAAAATTGCCCATTGCATAGTATATCACCCTATATTCTCTTCTTATTCCTAGCCTATAAGAGCGATGATGTATTTGACACCGTGGTATAAGTCCTTTTGGTAATATATTACCCCTTCTATTATTAAGTACTTCGTGAGAGCACCCGTATTAGAGCACTTTTTGAGAGACTCTTCTTACAATGTTGGAGATTAGAATTCCTGAAGGTTTTATTTCAAGGCTTCTGCTAAGGCTTTCAAGGTTGTTGCGATTACTTCATACTTTGATCCGGCCACCGATTTCAGATGCAGAGTCAATGGATTTTATTTATTGATGCTTCTTTGCCATCCCGTGACGCATTTTATTTGGGTAGGATTTCGCAGTCCAAAGTCATCTGAGGATTCCCTGACGAATAACTTAGCGGAACGCCCAGAGATCATGGAGCTCCCTTTCCTAGAAGCCTTCATTGCACGGGACTCTTTTCCTGTCAATGCGCGATGCGATTCGAACCGGGGATGACTTACCTCGCAGAGGATTGGAGTTCTCCCTGGTGTGACGTCATGATGCATCTTTCATGATTTTTGTTTATTTATTTAGGGACCCCAGCGGAGGTGTATGCAAACGGAAGTCAATGGTTTGTGACAGCGATTGGGGCCACGTTTGGATCTCTGACAGCATGCGTCGTCTTTGTCCCTTTCTTCTACCGTCTCCACCTTTCCAGTCTCTTCGAGGTAAGGACAATGGGCAACGGGCTTCTAATAGATAAGTACTGGTCATATTTTCCGCTGGAGTTCTATCATAGGATATGTGGATCTTCTCTTCCGTAGTATTTCGAGATGAGGTACAAATCCAGAGTGGTGAGGCTGACTGGCAGTTTCATATACATAATAAAGCACGTGTTGTTCATGACTGTGGCATTATACGCACCAGTGGTGGCCGTGGCAGCAGTTACTCCTTTCCCGGAATGGCTCGCAATCATCCTCACCGGCGGAATCTGCGCTATCTATACTTCAGTCGTGAGTTTGCACTGCACTCATCTCGTGTCGAAATCGATGAACGGTGAGCGACATTCCGTGACACATGAACGTCGGATGTTTCTTGGTGTCTCGTGTAGGGTGGCCTGAAGGCTGTAGTCTGGACGGACGCTTTGCAAGTCTTGTTCATGTTCGGCGGAGTGCTCCTCATCGTCATTTACGGGACAATACAGGCAGGGGGAGTCCAGGAAGTCTTGGTCCGAGCCTCAGCTCACGAACGAGGAGAGGTTTTCAAGTGAGACCGAAAGAACGTCCTCTCTATCCCTAAATTCTTTCGTATTTCCTTGGCAAACGGCGAAATCTGCTAGTTCGTGACACGCAGGCATATAATTACACTGATAACGAGGATCATATTACCCCACTATCTGCCTGGATATGCAGGCATTAAGTGAAACAGTTACCTCTTCCATATGAAGTCAATTGCTGAAAATCTTGGCATCTTGCTCCAGTGAGCATAAACCGTATTATTATGCTGAATCATGACAGACACCAATGCCAGAAAAACTCTCCCACATTCAAATAAGTTAACCACGAGAATTAACTTCTATTCCATTCTGGGCTCAATGGCCAACAAGCGACTGATTCATCTGGTCCTTATGACTTATAAGTGACTTTTGCAAGGATTTTAAATTAAATGAAAGTAGGTTCATCTCATATCTCAGATATGAGATGAACTTACTTCAGATATGATGTCTCCAGGTCCTCATATGACTACTGCTGCCAACGATCCAACTGGGTTCTCGAAATGGTTGGCTTCTTTTCTTTTCAACCAAACTTGGAAAGGAAAGGGAAAACAATTTTTTTTTTTACTCTGCTATGTTGAATAAGCACTTTTGAATGTAACAGGGTAGGGTCACTTGCATGCTTCATCAAATAATTATTGCATTATGTTATTTTTCTTTTCAATGTAAGGAAGATGGAACATGCGATAATCGCATAGAACATCGGACGTTTCTCACTTCCCGTGCATAGAAAGGAAGGAGGTGCCTGCTACGCTCAGGTAGCACACACGAGCATTCCTGGTAATAGACAGGCGACTCACACTCAAGGTCCAATTGCGTCTACAATTCCCGATTCCGCGTCTTTGTCATCGTTCTATTCTCATGAACAATAATTCAGATACGGGTGATAGCACAGAGCAAGCACTGATCATTTGACGGTGATGGTAAAATATCACTACGGTACTACATCACCTGCATCGACTGTATATACCGTAACGTGGTCGTAATACATTCTTTACAAGCGACTGGACATCAACGACCAATTTTCCTTTTGATGACTGGTTCAACGAGGCTTCGTAACTTATCTCATGGCGCTGGCTTCGATCAGAAAAAATTTTTCTATATACCATTCCTGGTCAGAGAGCCTCGTTACTGATATGACATAGTGAGGCGCACGTTGTGGAGGCCTATTCTTGAGTATCGATAGAAACCATCATCTTCGCGTCTTATGACCATTCTGTCTCATGTAGTGCTTCTTCAAGAGCAATAATGCTGATGACACGGCTACTCAAAGAAACGAACTGTGAACGAAAAGGCGCATCGATCCCTTGCGTCGTCTTTTCGTCTTTCCCTTCTAGTTTTAGCCTGTCAAACCGACACGCGGACTTCTCGTTTCGGTGAACGGGAATGCTCTTTATCCACACGATGGTATCGCAGCTATTTTTGGGCTACCTTTTTCCCACTGTCAGACATTTAAAAAATCAGAAGTTACAGATTTCCTCCTTCCTTCTTCGAGAGGGTCGATCGCATATCGTCTATAGTGAATAGCTAATTTCAGGCAGATTCCAAATCATACCCACGCTGAGCAAGAGGCTTGGGAACATGCAGGGCCCTACATGAATATCACACAGGAAGTCGCTTTATGCGAACCTGGCGGTCCAACTGCACTGTAAAAAATAATGGTTCTCCCTGGAACTCTTTACTGGTTCAACAGCGAAACTTTCTTGGAACCATTTAAAGGTTCCATAGAGAACCACCTATTAAAGTTAAATGTAGCACCTTTACAGTAGGTGTCAGTTAAAACCCTTTCGTGAATAACATGGTTCGACACAGAACCATCACTCAATGCAGCACACCATTCGGCACAACAACGTTGTCAATTTGGAGCAGATATTGATTTCTCAACGTTTGGATTAGGTGACAAGACTCCATGTATATTACAAAGAAAGACAGCACTCTATTAAGTACTGTCATTCCATGGAGGGATCCCTCCAAAGGGCCAAGGAAGGATTTCAGGGGTTTGATAATACTATATTGAGTACTAATGTCCCCGAGGAGTCCCGCAGGGGGTTGTATTTCCTTGGCTAGATCAAAACCAGAGTTGAGTAATTGGGCGACACAACTCTTTCTGCCCAGCAGAGGAATTACACGTCAAGCAACATCCTCCGTTTTATTTCATTATAGGAGAGGAGCCAGACACATCCCCGCAAGTCAATTTTCACGCTCTATCTCTCTCAAAAGAGATACAAGAACTCCTTAGAAGCGCCATGTAGAGACTTAGGAAAATTGAGCATGTCTCTTCGAACTACCAAATACCAAATACTACGGAGCAGGGGGCTCCGTAGTATTTGGAGTCTCCTTCTGCCGGGTTACCTCCTTGAACGGGTCTTTTTAGGAATTTCAAAGCCTTCCCTTTAGATGTACGTGGGAAAAGACCGGGTAATGTGTGAAAAGTACAGGAGACTCATTCCAATGGCACCAGGGTGAGAATCGCTAAATCGGCGCCTAGGGGCCATCTCACGCCGATTTTGTGGGGGTGGGAGTGGGAATGAGGGGGAGGGGGGGGGGGAGTTCTGAGTGAATGGCGAAAAGAACGTCTACGTATCAAGCCCTGAAGGGATCCATTTTCGAGCCATTTTGAGAAAGCATAAGAAATGGTTGTACCTAAACCAATGGGCAGTTCCAGAGGTTCTACATGAGCGATGGAATTACATATGGTTCTACATCTGTGCCGGAACCAACTTATATGGTTCTACAGTATCTGGAATCTTTCCAAGGATATAGAACCATTGAAGAGTTTCAGCCTGAATCTTTTTTTTTTTACAGAGTAGACGGGAGGCCTGGGGCAGTATTATATTAAAATCTTATACTTAAGTAACGCAAATTGCTCAACCTCGGCCATACATTTGAATGGGCAAGTACCAACTAAGCACCTTGCTAAGAGGGAAATCGCATTTAAGAAAGCAATAGAATACGACCCCTAGTCCAAGAGCAAGGAAAAGACTCAGAGAAGGGACTCTCATTCTGAAATGTTGATACCGAAATAATTACAAGTCGGTTCAACATCTTTTTCACTAAATGCCGTCACTTCGTGTATGAAGACGATTACTTCCATTTGCCCATGACAAACATAACTCTGTTTCAAGCTTAAGTCGAGTTCATGCGATTTTCATCCCTTGTGGGAATAAAGCAGCCTAATGATCGGCTCGAGTAATACAGATACATTCCTGTATTTCAATAGATTTTATATTTGTGCGAAGTCTTTGTGTTCGAGGATGCCTTACAGAGGTGCCGTGTCAGTAATTAATGCTTGAGCAACGAGGGTAACTGGGGAAGAATATTCTTCCTATTAATCATGCTTCCAGGAAGTGAAATAACGGACAGCTCTCGCAACCTTGGTATGACTTTTTTTTTCCCCCCCTCACTTTTTTTTCTTTCGCCATTGTTTTGAAACGCAGAGGTTAGAAGTCTCTCCCGTAGCTCTCGAAGACCCTGATATAGAAATCCGAACACAAGAGGGAGCAGCCGATCGGCTGCTCTAAATACTGTTGGTACAGTATTTAGAGCAGCCGATCTGCTCTAAATACTGTACCAACAGGCTTATTCAAGAAAGAAAATTGCGCCGCGCTCTGTGAGGGAATAGTTACCAAGTAGACGAGGGTCGAGACTAGACTCAGCAAACAGCAGTTAAATATCACTAGCGCTGTAAATTATACCATATGTGGTATAATTTATTGTCTTGTTTCTATAGAAACAAGACAATACTGACCTGGACATAGTCCTAAATATTGCATCACGGAATGTGTTCTCATTCATGGCGACGAGTTACTGGAACGGTAAGTTCCTAACAATTTCTTCAGACGCCGAAGTTCACATCACGCTTTTATTGCGATGTTTTCAGAGACACGTCAGAGGACTCAGCAATTCAACAGGATTCTGAATACAATGATCAATAAATAAGGGCTGCTTTGGTGGGGGTTGATCGTCTTTCTTTTTAGGGTTCTAATCAGAAATATCTTCGTACAAATGGCTGGTGGTTGCAGACCGGTAGCTCTTGTCAGGATGCTTTGCTAGAACGTACCACCTGACATGTTCTGAAATGCCTTTTCTGTTTTGTGTTCTATGTACAGCTTCTCGTTTGACATATACGAGAGGCACACGTTTTGGAAATTGATGACATTCATGTGGCTGGGCTGGATGCTGGTTCATGGATGCAACCAACCATCTCTTCAACGATATTCCTGCATGAAGAACGAAAAGCAAGCCGTGAAGTAAACTTCCAATTCCTTATTTTAATGAACACTATAAAATCAATACTGACGATAAAGGAAACTACAATATTATGGGACGTGTAGGTGCGTGCTGTGGAACATACCGGGGATGGTTGCTCTCATGGTCCTGGCGGCATTCGCTGGACTGGTCATATTCGTCGTCTACGTGGACTGTGATCCCTTGAAGGCTGGGTACATCGAGAAGAAAGACCAGATCATCCCCTATTACGTCATGGATAAGCTCGGTCATCTCAAGGGTCTACCAGGAATCTTTCTCGCTACGCTTTTCAGTGGAGCTCTAAGGTAATACAGGCTTACACAATGATTAGGTGTTAAGACGTTCTCTCTCTCTCAACCTTTCTATGCTGATGAATATTTTATATAACATTTTTCGCGATACTGATCATTGGTAACCACTTACCACTTACAATATCTGTTAAAAAGCCAAATTTGTGGAGCTTTGTTTTATCGGCTGTAGCGAGATAGAGGATATGCAGATGATGTCATTGAGTAGCATGGGAACAATGTGAGATGCCGACAACTCACCTAAAAGTAAAAGCGTAGAACCGTCAACCCATGTCAATGCTCCATTTAGTATGAGATTTTGAATCCCTTTCTTCGAATGACCGAAGTAAAGGGTGGGTTCGCACATGGTAGTATTCTCACATGGAAGTTACGCACGAAAAAGATCGTTCCCATAGGTGATCTCATAGGTGATCTACTCCTACAGAATACGAGACTTCTCTCTCCCTTGGAAGTACTCGCATAGACATGCCAGACATGGCTATCTATGGGAACGGTCTTCCTACGCGCAACTTCCATGCGAGTGCACTACCTTTTGTGAATTTGCCCTAAGTATTTTGCAGCATTTCCGCCTCATTCAGGACGTTCTGACTGTAGTCGAGCCATAGGGCATGATAATGCCTGTAGTAAGAATCTAAGTGCAATATAACCCTTTTTCATTCAATGTCCCACTCTCACACACATTCGTGCACAAATCCGCATTCTTCCTTCCCCAAGCTTTCATAAAGTATATCCGTTACGATTCAACACTTTTGGAGCTCTAAAATTGCGTGGATCTGCTGCTGCTTCTTCTTTCGACGACCGAACACATGGTTCATCCAACGGAAACAAGTATCGAACAGATTTGAACGGATGATGTATTGATAGACTCCTTTTGATCTAGGGTATATCTTCCAGTTTCGGTCATGAGATTCCAAAAGGCTAAATACGAAATGTCGGAACCGTCTCGCACACCCTGCAACCGTAGACAATAGATCCAGGAAACTCGCAAGATCATCCATGAGAGGCCAACCCCCATCTCGTCACACATACATTTAATTATACAGAACCGATTTCGACACGTGAGAGACCGATGGGGCCTTGACGGTATTTCTCATATGGGTAGCAATTACTGACCTGGCACTGACAGTACTGCAAACCAGAGGAGTATATCTCGACCCAAATCTGTAGGTTGCACCTTTTTGGAATAATCCTTTTATTGGAATGGTACAACAAATATGAAATTGGCACGATTTCAGAAGAAAGGAGACGCCAACTGATGTCTCGGAAATATAATGCATGCTATGAATTGGGAATCTCCAATTCCCCTAATTGTCAGGTAAGAATTATCATGCTTTAAGTCCAGATTTTATCTTTTTAACCATGGCACATAATAACATTTTCACGTCATCAGCACAATTCTTTGAAATTGCAGGTGGGACATTGCTCTTAGGGTCTGTGGATGTGGACGTCTCAGTGCTACTCCCAAAACTTAGTAAATCGCGTTTTGATACAGCTGACTCCAACAAATTTGGTAGGACGCAAAATGTCAGATTTGAACAGAACAGCCGAAGCATTACTTGGAAATCAACACTAACATGGCACCCATACTACCTCGATGGAAATGATTCAGCTTACTTTGATAAATATGGCGATGAGCAAGCAGGCTCGATCTGGTACATCCTAATTTTATTAAACCTGAAGATTTGCGATGCATGAGCCGAGAGGAAGCGTAACCAGTTTATCATCGGTTCGACATGGAGTCAGATGGCATCTGGATTCATGTGACCACTTGCAGTCTCACTCTTATTCGCACAGGCATAAGAAGAAATATCAGACCAGCTTGGTGAGGAGAGACGCCAAAATTGCCTTCATAAGGACCATTTTGGCGTTTCACCAAGTCTGAGATTAATGCTGGCCGCGGAGAATAATGCGAAGACTTTAGCAAGCAACATCCACGATAGAGGAAACTTTGGCATTTCTCCGTATTTTTTGCACTTCTAGTCCCCTTCTAGTGGCGTATTTTGGTTCATGAGCCAGAGAGGACAAAGTAAAGAAAGCGGACTGCGAAGGTCGATGGAGGGTTACTGATGTTGGTTTCAAAACGGCTGTTCAGTTGCAGTTTCAGTTCAGTCTTAGGTCTGATTGAAGTTCCACTGTGTTCCACATATCACTCACACAAAAAAATCCCAACTGAATTGTAACTGAAATACTGTAAAACTGGAACTGAACTGCAACTGAACTGTGACTGGACTGCAATTTTGAAATCAACCTGAGAACAGGTTTTCAAGAGCAAAAAAAAAATCCTTCGAGGGGGAGTGCAAGGAACTTTCAAGGGCTATCAGGGTGAACGGTCCCCCATCTCCCCTCCCCTCTAAAATACACCATTGCCCCTTCCCTAGACTATTATTTTTAAGAAAATGTATTCCTTCCCGATCATTTAGGACATCAAAACGTGAAAGCCACCTTTCTTTCCCAAATGATACACTGCCTTTTATTTAAAAAATCACCGGGAGCATGAAAATGTGAAAATACCCTCATCTTCAACTGGTTGCAATATCTAAAAAACATGTTTAGACAGACATGTTTAGAGATAACATGTGGACCTCTGCGATGTGATCATTTCATGCGTCCCCGTTCTAAATTCCATGCAATTGACAGTCCTTGTGCTTGAGCTCGAGCTAAAATCTATAATGAAAATTCATGGAAATGATCGTGTAGCAGCGAATACGACATTTAAAATCTTATTTCCGGTTTCCTGGGGTGAGCGAAAGCGTTAAAAAAAGGAAGGTATAACGGAAAAGGACAGGATCTTTATTCCTTTCCTGAACGCGATGTCAATGAATCTGTGCAATCTAGTGAAAAAGGAATTCTTTCTCGGGGAAGACGCCTCGGTATGTCGCGGAAGGCCTGCCAAATGTTTTGGCAGGGAATTCTCATGCCTCGAAGTGCTGCTGGTTGTTTTGTTTTTGTTTTTTTTGTTGGTGAAACTGATCTCACGCGATTCTACTGTTTTATTATTTTTTTTTTACCAGTGAATTTCGGGCATACAGTCTAACGTATATTTCCAGGGATGTGGCATGTGGTGTCAGCAAGCCACATCATGAGATATCTGGTGTTTACCCGATGTTTGGCGTCTACAGTTTGGACAAGTGCAGTTTCCATGGTTGTTTACGAACGGGCTGCTTGCCAGTCTTTTCACTTGTCATGTGTCAGTCTCCAGTCAGTCCACTTCTCCATCGGTTCCTACATGACATACAGAACAATGGGCTAATACACACGTCAAATTTACTAAAAAAATATTTTAAGCGTGAAAATAGCAATGTAGAAGCAAGAGGAAAGAAATCATATCCCAAGAACCTAATTGTACCCACCCCGTACGCTTTTTGTTTGCATATGCCTCAGAAATTATACTATGCAGATCCATATCTACATTTTCCCTGCATATCCATACCTATATCCATATCCATATCTATATCTATATCCATAACCATTTCCATATCCATATCCATATCCGTATCCATTTCTATATCCATATCCATATCCATATCCGTGTCCATACTCATATCTATATACATTTTCTGCATATCCATATCCAAATTTGCATATCCACATGGGTCCATGGGATTCATGCGGATATGGACCAATGGCAGGTTAAGACTTGCTTTATGTTTAGAATATCATCGGCATATCAAGTAACAATGCAATGTTAGATTTTCGTGACTGCGGGAGTGACGATCATACGATAGGTGTGGGACTTTTCCCTCCTTTCTTGTAGCACGTTGTCATCTGGGTTGAATTCCCTGGCAGCTGTGACATGGACTGACGGGATTGGGCTCACCAAATGGCATAAAAGCCTCAGCGAAAGACAGTCCATTGTCATCACCAAAGTCCTCGGTAAATTATTCCTTTTTTCCCCAAGGAAGATAGAGTGATGAGTTTAGTTAAGTTAAGAGATTGCTAAGCTTTTTATTCATAGGTCTCATCAAAAACGAGACAGCATGGTTGCGTTTTTCATCTCTCGACACGATATTGCCTCAAGCTTTTAATCACGATTCGCAGCAAGACGTTGCTGACATGGGACTCCACCGCCGCAGTTACATAACGATCGCAGACAGAAACTAAGTACTGACTGACGGACATAATACGCACTTATGACAGAAGCCTACACTGTAAAAAATAATTCCGACTGAGGCATCGGAAACAAGGTTTCCGTCTAATGCACGGAGAAGGGGATTCCTATTCTTAGCGGAAACCATTTCTCTTATTTTATAACATAAACATGCTGCTCCCAAAAAACCTCGGAATCGATCCCTTGGACTAAAGCGAGTAATGGAGCTTTCCTCTCCTTTTCCGGAAAATTTCAATGCATACTCGGAATCTGGTTTTCGTTCACGGAAGTAAATTTCCATCTCATTGGGTTTTCCTTAATTGCCCTCATTATTCAAAAACGGCTCCTTTCCATTCGAAATACTGCATGATAAATGGGATTTCATTATCATTACGCGAATTCCCCTTATTAATAGTGAGCATTTGGTGCATCCTTATCACGGAGAAGCTATAAGTCCTATTAATTAACGCGATTATTCAGTACCTCCTTTTGATCACTTTCGGAAAAGATCGCAACCCATTCTCGTCTCTTTCCCTCTTCTCCAAGGGAGTGTTCCAGGAGAACGATTCTTTTTTTCCAATGACCTTTTTATTTACAAGGCATGCCCTTACAGAGAAAGGATATGAGGTGAGGAAAAGTTACATATACAGAAGGGGGTATAGAAATTGTTGATGGTCGGTAGAGGTGCTGGACGACCAGGTAGTGTTATCAGGCCAGGGGTCTCTAAAGGAGTAAAGAGGAGAACGACAGCGTCCTGGACCTTTTATACTCTGATTGGTCCAATAAGTGCGGGCCGCCGGCAGCCACATCACCGACATCATCTACATTTCCATGTAGATGATGTCGGTGAAGCAGGGCGTCCATCGTTTCAGAGCAGTTCTCAAAATGGGAAGAAAGTTGCGATGCTCCTGATTTCCCCTGTATCCGATACGGAAATAGACATAAAAATACCTTTCTTGTTGAGAACGAAAACTGTGCTTATTCCGAAGCATTACGGTGTAATGATTGAGGAGTTCTCTGGAAAAGGGGCATATGTGCCCATACGCCCTTTTTTCATATCCGTATCCATGTGCTGCTTCAGGTGACTAGTCATAGGATAGGATAGTCAGCTAGTAGTTTATTGCATATTCAGCAAAGGAGAATCGGACTTTCCTATGCTCTCACTAAATAGCAGGCCAACTGCCAGGCAATTTCAACATGGCCGCCTCCATGAATATTCCATTACCACTTCCATGCTGGACGATTTCGGTGGAATTATTTCGTCCTTTTAAAGTGATAGTGAAAATGAGGAAGAAACCAGGCATGAAGAAAGGGAAAGAAAGAGACGGAGTCATTCAAGCCTCTGGAAGGATGGAGAAGTTGGAGATATCCATGAAATAGTTGAATATTCAGATGATGAATACATTAATAATGGATTATTGCTGAGTAATTGGTGAATGAAACGTGTCCTGACTATCCACATTTTCATTGATATTTTTCAAATAAGAGTTTATTTGAAATCTGTAGATGCATTTATTGATTAATTATTATTTTTAACTATATAGAAAGTAGTGGTGAAAGACTCGTCGGAAAAAGTTTCAGCAGTGAGGATATGGAAAAAGGGCGTATAGACCCCATTGCTGCAAAGCCACGAAGTTCACAAAGCATTCACTACCAACAACACGAGAATTCAGATTCTCATTCCGAAATCCGAGCGCTTCCACGGTCTTTTGCGGTCCATGTGCATTTCCCCCATCTGCCCACCAGCCATACAACTTTTCTTTCTCTGAGTCATCCACAGATGACTCAGCATACTCGAATGTCGATCCGCACTCACTCTACTGTAAAATTCGGGGAAGTGATGCGGATGCGAACGATGTTTAATAGATGAGATGAAATTTTATCCGCTTCTTCCTTACGTGCAGACCGTTTAGGTCTGCGATTTCACTCGTCCACTTACCAGAAAATGCCACTCATTTGAAGATGAAAAAAAGGGGCCATGCTGGTTTCTGTGTGGTTTTGTCATATCAGCCTGGTAAATATTGAACCACTCAAAAAAACCTGCCCTCATCTGATCAGTACTGTCTGTACGCTATGGACGAGTTTAAAGTTCGCGAAATTATGAAGCTCCTGCGACATGCGGCCAACTCATTTCTCAAGGTTCAGTCATTGGAAGCACCCGAGCATGATGGAACTCATCAGTATTTGTACATTCAACAGCCTTCTCACATACAGTATTCCAACCGGAAGCTGTTTTGACCCGCTTACACACCCAGAGGGGTTCACATCTAGATATACATGGAGGATTTAGGCATATTTAGGTTTATGCTTGTCCGTGTTTGCCTTGAGTCGAACAGTTTGGCGTATAAAACCTTATCTCAGCATGAATATTTAATTGGGTGGCGGGTACAAGCCTACGTCTTGAATCTCTTACGACTCCGCCATCTTCTGTATTGTAATATTTTTGCCAAATGATCGCTGTGTTTTAAATATCCGGCTGCAGGGAGTTTTAAATTGAGACGAATATTATGTATTCTGTTAGGGCTGTACCTAGCGGAGTATTTTACAGGGGGGCAAGGGGGCCGCCTCCCCTGGCGCCCCTTGGAAGTAATAATTTTCTCCCCCTGTGTCGCTCGGGTGGGGTTTGGCGCCTTCATTATGCTGCCCAGCTTCCCCTAATTCTTCGAGCCAAATTACGCCACTGGCTGCACCAATGTATCAGCGACACTGCCGATATCGGCCGCCTGTGTTGCATCTTTGGTGCCATCGGCCAACAGCAGGGTTACAAGCTGCGATGCCGATGCATAATGGAGGAGTATAACGAAAAAAAAAAGCGTGAGTGCGAGAACGCAACTAGGCACTGGTCTTACTGACTCACTGAAAGCCACTCCTGCCGGTCTCTCCCAGACAATAATATCGATCGGATTACATTTCAGCCGGAGTGCAGGGATAGAGTAAAAAAGCACTAAAGAAAGGCAAATCATTGCAAAAAGCTGGCGAGGTAACAAGCTGACGGACGCATGGACAGACAGACAGACAGTCAGGACAAGACTAAGACTGATCTCTATACTTTTAAGGAGGCGCACTGATAAGTATCATGGCTTTCAAATAGGTCTATTTGAATTACCATGCGATTTTATGCTACTTTCTTCTCAATCCACAGAACACAATCGACACCAGCCAATAGTTACGAGATTAAACTTGCCACCGACCCACCGGCCAAATGTGGCCATCGGTACAGCCCTAGTTCTAATGATAGTAATGGGTCTGAATTTGAACTCCCTCTCGCGTCGTTTTCTCGTTCCTTAGTCGATGTATGAGGTCAGGTGGGTGTGTTTCAAACTGAAAGGCGTTTCAGCTAAGTGGTGATACAATCGTGTGTACTTGATACTTTCTGCGATCATGCCCTCCACTTGGAACAAGGAGGTCCAGGACATAGAGTATATCTGGATACCTGATGTCAGTGTGCTGTGGAATGATTTGGTTAGCCTGACTTGACTCCTTGTGACTTTCATTTCCGAGGAAAGATAAAGAACTAAGTATATTCCATGAAACCAAGAAACACGGACCAGTTAAAGCAGCAAATGGATCACGGCTAGTTCCTGAGGTACGAGAGTGGCTCAAATTTGACTTGGACTTAATGCTCCAGGGGCTTACGAATTACCGTAACGAGTTCGAAACTTACTCTATTTCTTAACATACTCCCCTTTCGTGAGCGCACACTTCTTCTAGAGATGTGGAGAGGTACTCCTACAGCATAGAAGTCTTCCAAAGAGGTGCTCAGCTACTTGATGACATTCCTTGACAGTATCGTTACTATTGAATTTCATTCCACCTAGGTGTTCTTTAAGAGGACCAGACAAATATTAGATGTGGGAGCACTTCCTAGTGCATGCCACACAGATTACTTGTCATTTCCGCAACATGCGGTTGACAGATGTTGCTGGGCGTGCGGCATGGAGCTCACTTGTTACACTTTTCCAACTTTCTTTCAACACCTTGCACCTACGAAGCACTTAAATGCGCCAGCCATTGACACCAAAACTGTAATTCTAAACGCCTATGAATGCCAGCAGCTCTCATGTTCTCGTTCACAAAAAAATCGAATGATGACACGTTCCACATCGCGTGACGATATTGGTGGTGCCATTTCGCACACTCTCACTATATTGAATGCTGCAAACAATGGACAACCTGCCTTTGTTGAAATGTTACAATAACTTTTCCTCAGGCACGGAACGTACATCAGCATTTCTGCACCCTTTACAAGGAAAAGTCCAGGTCAAATTTGAACTACCCTTGCATTCCATAGGAGATTTGTCAACGTCGTATTTAGATCAATTACTGAGGGACTCGCAAAATACATTTAAAACGGTAGCAGCTAAGCTGAGTCGCGGCACTAATGGGATTCTGCACGTTTGCGTACAGCCACTAATGAGAACATAACACGTGACCCACTTGTGAACTTCCTTCGTTTCTTCTGCACATAAATGTATGCATTTTTTTTTAATGCCCTCGCAGTTTTCCTACAGATTTACATTACAATTTCTGCTAAATATTCTGGATCGTTCTGCATATTTAATGCCACGATTCGTACGCAGCGTTGGGATACGGCTTGCTGGCAATGGGGATGGCGTATGTCGTGTCCTTGTCTGGAGCGCGTGGCCTCATCACGTTGGCGATCACCTTGAGCAGCATCACTAAAGCTCCATTGGTCGCCGCTTTCTTCATCTCCATTTATGTTCCCATCATTAATGCCAAGGTAGCCCACTACACCTCCAATTTTGCTCGTTTCGAGGCTTCTTCCGACAGTTTCAACGACTCGGTTGTCTGCAGGGGATGTTTTCTGGGATGGTGAGTGGGTTGGGTGTGACGGCCTGGCTCGCCTTTGGAGCCATTGCAGTCGGAGTGCCCCCTCCAGCACCTCTTCCTTCTTCCATCGAAGGGTGCCACGACTTGAATGCCACCTCCCTTCATATTATCAACGAAACTTTCATCGACACTGCATCACAAATGTCTACAACTCACTCATAGTAAGGTGTGATAGGGGTACGATGAGCGATCACTTATCACAGACTGCGCGAACTGTCGGCTAAGATTCGATAGATTTTCCTTCTCATATAAGGTATTTCTGCTTTGATAGCTTAAGGAATTAATATTTGCGTATTTGTGGTTCTCCTTGTTCCATGAGGAATCGGGAGGATTCCCATGAGGGATATTGTCCGACGATTTTGAGCAAAAACTAGTTATAATTCCCGTAAAGTGATCCCAACAGTTCAAAAAGGATCGAAACGTTCATTTCTTGGAACTTCTCATTTATTAATTAACTGCCAGAAATAATTTTCTTACAACGGTGGGAGTGGCAAACTGACAGAAAGGTTTATTTCCGGTCTCCATTATATAAGATACAAAATGACTGACTTTCCTTTGCAGCCCTCACCTGTACGACATGTCTTATTTGATGTATCAACCACTCGGAGTCCTGACAACAGTGTTCGTGGCTCTAATAGTCAGCGTCGTCACAGGTCTGGCTAATCAAGCTCCTTCTATCCAATCCAGAACAAAAAACCCATGGTGCTTGTTGATATCACTAACTCTTCCCCACCCCCCTCTCCTTCCACACAATATGGTATTTTACTATATGAAAGAATTTGGCCTATTATCTAACCCTGTAACTACTAGAACCCGGATGGTCATATGTTTAACTCGATTTTATCTCTTCATTCCCAAAGAATCTCTTCAAATTACTTTGCCTAATTAACATAACATGTCTACGTGAAAATGTACCTACTATGCAGCCTACACAAATGGATAAATTTTTGTTTATTAATAAATTATTAAATATTAAATAAATAGATTAGGGCCCATTAGACCCAGAACAGCAGTTACAGGGTTAAGTGAGAACTATTTTCAATGAGGGCCATTGCTCAGTGGCAGGTCCTTCTTCGACTTTCGAGCGTCATTTAAAAGCTGTTGTGAAGCCTGCAATAAATACATTAACTTTGATTTTTCAGGTGGATATGACCTGGATCTCCTGGATGATACCCTCGTGAACGGCTTTTGCCTCAAAACATCACGGTTGATGAAACGATATTTCTTCGGGTGGTCCATAAAGCCACGGCTACATAACATCGAACTCAAGTCTCACTAGGATTTTATTTTTTTATATATAATATATTTATTTATCTTAGCTGAATTGTCTTTCAAAATATCGCTGCGAATAAGAGAAGGATCCCATATTGACAATTTTTCATGCATGAGAGGAGAGGAAAGCGACGTGTGACCGTTGATGTGAGAAAAATCAGTGACTTGACCAGAGTGAAGATGGGGATGTAAGAGAACCTATGAAGAATAAAGTATTTAAAAAGACCTGCCTCGTTTAATCGAAATATCTCTGATATTTTCTTAGACTTTCTTAGAAGCTTAGATCAAAGTCTATGTTGATACTAATTGAGTCATCAATTGTAAATGTTAATGAAGAATATCAAATCATGAGCAAAAATATACTCATTGAATTTAACTGCAGATATTTGATGTGGCTTAGATGATATGCAACCATTGTGCTAAGGCTTTTCCTCTTTCGACTTCAAGTACCTGCGAGAGCCCACTTTCAATTTCCTAATTTCATTTAATAATTCTTGATAGTATTGTCCTGGCGCAATGCGTTTTCATGAATTTTAATTTTCTATTGGGAACATATCAGCTTACGCTCGGGGTAAGTTTTGGGAAAACATTTGCAGTGAGAGAAGAGATTTATTAGTTAAAATTCGGGGATGCTATTTTAAATATCCTGAATCAAGAATGTGAACAAATGAGGCGATTTTCAACTATTTTGTTCCATGGATTGCCTGGGATGCTTAAACGAAATAACATCAACCTACAAGAAACAACCCTGTATTGGTAGGATTCCAAAGACTTCCTGTTCGACAGAAAACGTATACAATTCGTTCCTGATGGATCTGACTCTGCACAAAGATCCGTAATTTAATGTACTATGCGTACCTAAAGGCCTTAAAGGCGTAAGACCCTGAAGAAATATCCAAGGGAAAGAGTTATAGCTCGGAAGAGAGATTGACATTTCAAGCAACTTTAGCAAAAGACACCGCTGTGTCGCCGGAAGCCATCGACAAACTGAAGCGAAATCCGACAATTTTTCTACGTCACCTTCCAGACGTAATCACATGGAGTGGTCACAAAGGTCACGTTAGAGCGTTTCCGTCTCACCCCTGCTGGGGTCATTGAAAGCGCGCCCGCATTTTCTCGTTTTTACGCGGTGTACACCTCATTTAATATTCTTTCGTTTCCAGAAGCTGCGTCCAAAAAAAACTTGAACCTTTCCTTGTGACTACAGATCACGGTGCAAAATTCTCACCAATGAAGCGATCATCTTCAGAGAACCAAGCCATTTAAGTGGCCTTTTTTTAAATTACTCAATGAACTGATGGACACATATGCTTTTATATTTCATAATTTCCATTGCTTGTAAAAATAAAGAGGTGGGTGAATTCAACGAAAATAAGGTATTTCTGCTGTTGAATATTTTCCTCTTCTGATGCAAGGCAACGACAACATGCTTCAGTCTCAGAGGATGTAATTCCAAGTATTCCTCTATAGAAGGAAAAACTATAAAATCCCTGTAGTTAATAGGGTTCGTTCATTACGTAGTCTGCATGGATGATTCTTTAGAATTCCGCAGAAATATCCCTTTTTAAAAGAAAACTTGAAAATTAAAAAAAATTCCCCTAGAGATTTTCCGGAGGCATTCTACAGTACACTTTCACTTATGTCAAACACGATACAGCCCGGCGTAAAATGTGCATCATACATATTTAAGGACTTATTGATGCCAATAAGTACATGATAAATATCTTCACGACATTACGTAGCTGTCAATCGTATGAAAAGGGCACGAGCAGCTAAAAATGGATCATTCAGCATTATTATTCAGCAGGATTATTCAGGAAGTGAGTGATCCTACCGTGTCTAGGAGATCGTCTAATTCTGACATGCCTTGCTGAGTACTCCATGTTCTCAATTTCTCGCGCTCATACGTTAACTCTCTACGGAAACTACATCCTTGGCATGCATGACAGTAACACGAGGGAAGTTTTTCTTCAGTTTACAGGCAAGTAGTGCAGATTGAAGAAAGAAGCGAGTGCCAAATAATCGATGCTTCCATGGCGCGAATCGGATCAGCGCACGGGTCACCCGGACTCCATTCGGATTTCATCTGGACCTGATAGAAGTATGCCACTTCCTGATTTTTTTCCAAGAAGACTTGAAGAATTCGCCGCTGCTAAGGTGCTGCTAATACAGCACGCATAAAGCACTTTTGGTCACCATTGTTCCCAACTATAGGTGTTAAATTGATCGTTCTTGGCATTGCATTCAGCACACTAGATCAGGGATCGGGAACCTATGGCTCATGAGCCAAATTTGGCTCACGAGCCAAAAAGTTTGGCTCATTGAGTCATGGTTGAAAATATTGGTTGTTCCTCATGTATCAAAGAATGTACACTTCTGTTTGTTAGCTTCAGGAAAAATTATGTTGTTCTGAAAATCTTTTTGCTCACAAGCACTTAGCTCAACCTTAATGTGACTCACTATGCCAAAAAGGTTCCCGACCCCTGCACTAGATGACCTTTTGTGCCTTTCGGTTAGTTCTTCAGCCACCTGAGCTGTGGTCTTCAGATACAATGCAAAATGAGGCACATGAGCCCTTGGAAGGCTGGAAGTCTCAACTAATGAGTCTTGCTGTCAATTAGGGCGTTGCAGCACACCGGCATTTTCATCAAACCGCGGTATTCGGTTCTCATGATAATCATACTAACCCCTTCAACGTTTTTCGGTATTATCGCCACGGTATGAAGATCGTGGAATAACGCCCATGTTCATACGGCCACAATATCGCCGTACCGAGACCCATTTCTAAAAGGAAAAGTTACCTTGTCAATTAATTATCTTCCCCATCTCCATCCACGGTAACGACCACCGCCTGGGGGAAAGCTAAACCTTCCTGGAACTCGCAAGAGTGTATTTAATCCGGACTCTTGGACCGAGACCCATCATTTGTGGGTTCGACCAGGTCCTTGACTGTGCTTTGGTTCGTAAGTGTTGGTGTGCCTGCTGAGCACTCAATACGTTCATCATATCTTAGTGGGGATGTGCGATGTGCCGATGTTGTAGTCCCCTCCCCTACCCCTATGCTCCTCTCCGGTATCACCGAAATATCGCGGTTTTTAACCACGGTATACCTACTGAGAAATTTATCGCATAATATAACGCCCTACTGTCAACAGAAATCAATTTACTTCGAATTTGTTACACGAGATATTCACAGACTGGTGAGATGGGATTATTTACGCGGGTTGTCATGAGGTTTTCTGGCTCAAATGACAGAGGAGACCTTTAGTCATTTCACTTTCATCTGCGGATGCTCTGTTTCTCTCGGATGCTGCTCTGTTTCTCTCCAGCATCGTATCAGTAATACCAATAAATTTGTAAGGTTCGCTGTTCCCAAAATCCTTAGAAATAACGGAAAGTTGCACGAAAAAAATTTGCCATAATCACGGCTCAAGCCATGTATGACCAAACGAAGTAATAAATCCTGTTAAATCGTAAAGCCACGGTAAATGTAAAGGGAATGATACTTGTAAACCTATGTTCTTTCATCACGGACAGGATCATCAAATTCCCAGGAGAACAAAGCGCAGTGAATTATCACTGCACTCCATTTATTTGAAGTCTTGCCACATTTAGAGGGATATCCAGACCCCTGACCATCAAGCCCCCCTTGGTCATACATGGCTTGAGCCGTGATTATGGCAAATTTTTTTCGTGCAACTTTCCGTTATTTCTAAGGATTTTGGGAACAGCGAACCTTACAAATTTATTGGCATTACTGATACGATGCTGGAGCAAGCAATTAATGTACTTATGAACTTGTTTCCTATTGCATATGACTGTGGTGCAAGCGTGCAAGAGCAAAGACTGACTGGACCACAACGGCGAGCACAGGTTAACCAATGTACAAGAATCCAACCGCAATGAGACTTCGGCACCCACTATTTAGCCAGTGAAGAGGGAGGAAGGATTGTTAGCCATTCTGTTCTACACATGCTATTCATCCGGATTTGTATTGGTTTTAAAAATGAATTGCTAGAGACAACATTTCTAATAGTGGCGAAAACAATAAACGGTAGGAAAAAGTGAAAAAGCTTGCATACCAAAACTGCGGCTTCTATTAGCTACTTGTTATCGTGAGATGATGATGAATGCGATATCGTGCAGCCGCCCTTTCATCTTGAATAGCATTGTGATATGGGGTATAAAGGGAGATCTTTCGAGTTGGATAAATATTCAAGTGTAAGATTACATTGTTTGAAGGCGGGTTTCACGGAGAATGACTGCGAAGGTCGTTGTGTCTTCAACTATCTTAATATTATCTTATGCGGATATCTTGGTAATTACAAGCCCCGAGTGTCGCATGCAGCTCCCGTCATTTCCAGGCGGCAAGAAAATATAAATAATTATGTCTAAGAACACTAAGACGATAAAATAAGTAGAACAAAAAAACTGGAATGATAATTCTTCTTCCTCCTTTATCTTTTTCTCCCGAAACCGCATCCCCTTTTAGTTCCATCCCATCCCGCAAATGCTGGATCTGCCACAAGGAGTCCTTTGAGAGTGGGCAGGAGTGCAGTAGTTGCGTGGCAGAATTATAGATGTCAGATCGGTCGAGGGGGCCTGGGATCAGTTGGGTGTCCCAGGGGAACCCAAGGCGGGAATCCCAAGAGAAACCAACCCTCGTCGACGAAAGCGCACACTCCTCTCTCTCTCTCTCTCTACGTCTCTCTTTCCCCCTTCCAAGGGCTCCCATCTCTCTCTCTGCTTATTCCAGGGAATGAATGTGTCGGTATGAGACATCATTTCCATCATGTCCCGCCGGAAGCAGGCTCGACCACGTGCCTTCAAGTCGTCTCTCTACGAGTCTTCGTCGTCCTCTCCAGGAGATCACGAGAACGGATTCCCCTCTACTTCTTCCCCTCCTCCATCCGATGGTATGCTCTCCCTCTTCCTCCTTCCTCTCGGAATTCCGTTTCTTTCCGGTCGCGCTCGTGACGCGGGACGAAGCGAAGACGCTGCTGGTTGCGCGCGCGTTTTGCACGGCGAAGTGTCCTGATTCCGAGAGAGTCTACCTTAGGGCTATTCCGTCCAC